TCATTCAAATTGTTAAAAAGTGATAAACATAAAGACAAGCTACCTAGAAGTTGATCACTTATGATACTACAAGATGACATAAAATTCTTTTCTACATGAAAAAATCAGTCACTGTGAACGTATGCATATGCATGGATCACTTTTGGCAAACAATCAAAAAAGTGACAGAGAATAACAAAAAAGTGAAATAAATTTTAAAAAGTGGACTATAAGAATATTTCTCTAACAAAATTTTGGCCTTAAAACAATGTTGAGATGTTTATAACAAACCTTAGACCTATGTTATAATCTAGTACGTGCTATAGAAATCAAACAGATGATAATCACTATGAAAATTGAGAAACTAGCATGCACATTGATGCTATCCATTCTTATAGCACTGACATCACAACTTTCACAAGAACCCTACCATTCATAACCAAAATGGCAAGGACATGATCACTTCAATTAACTTATTCTTCTTTTTCATTATTTCCACGAGTTTGGTCACAACCATTAACACATAATAGATTATGGGAAAAATTGACGAAACCCCACCTCTCCTTTCACTGACCTATGTGTACTTCATTTTACATAAAATAAAAGGTAAGGGCGTTGTAAAATGTTTTAAAATGCATAACATCACATACGAAATATCAAAACCAGAAAGTCAATTTCCCAACAAGGAACTAAAAATTAAATTTATAAACAAGAGGGGAAATTGAAGAAGTTAATGCTACCTTGGGTTTATAAGATGTTGAAGATATTTCATTTTTCTTCAGTTCTTCATCAATATTTCTTTTCCTCTTCAACCCACTTTTTTCAACCATTGCAAAAATAGGAGTCGGAGTCCAGTATCGGAGTCAATGTCTGTGTCGAAGTGAATAAGTCAGAATCGAACTCAGATTTCTGGATTTTGATCGGAACAAGTCAGGGTTCCAACTATTTGGGGGTTTTAGGATCGGTGTTTAAGATCCCTACGAAATGAGGAGGAGATTGAAGATGAACGGAGACGAAGAATACGAAGACGAAATCGACAAAAAAAATGGGAGGAAATGGAAATTACAAATCGAGTTTTCTCAGAGATGAGAAATCGTCTCTAAATATGGGGAGCATTTCTAGGGATGAGAGGAATGGGTTTCAAGGTTACTATTGGGTTACTTTAGGGGACTTGGAGTTTTACTTAATAGTTTAGATTAAGACGTAATTATTACTTGATTAAAATGTTTAAT